TAGCCTGCTGGCCTGCTTACTGAGGAAACGGTAACCGGTCCTAATAAACGTTTCTACTTCCTAGGAAGTTGAAATAAGTATATATATTAAAGTTCCTAATCTTGAAATAACATAGGTATATTCAGAAAATGCAATTTCCCGAATTTACTTGTAGATTTCGGAACGAGAACGCGCCCAATTTTCTATTTGACATTTCTAGCAAACTTGTACTAAGTTATTTATCAAAGTTACATGTGAAAGTTTAACTTAAAACAGACTTAAAGTGTAACTAGGTTTGTCTTTAAAAGTACTTAAGCATTAAGACCGACTTATGACATCATACACTTTTTAACTGTTTCTTTCGTTTGTATAATTATCGACTGTGCAAATAAAGAATGTTAAATTCGATTATTGTTTTCTTATCTATGTACCTATATAATGCATTACATTTTGCGAATTCAGTAGGATGTTTCTAGAAAGGGCCATATTATGGTTTTCGTTCTGGGAAATATTAAAAATGAGAATTATTCGCGCCATTACTAGCAATGTACCTAACATTGCTAGTAATGGCGCGAATAATTCTCATTTTTAATATTTCCCTGGAAATTGAAGCATATTAACTACACAGATGAATATTTATGTTTAGTCATCTCTTAATCCGATAAATCATTCCAATTTGTATAGGTTTACAAGTATATTTCCAATTACAAATGTATGACATATCAGTGCTTATTAATTAATTCTCCAAATTTGGAGATATCAATCAAATATCGTTTATACACGATTAGATACTGCAATGGAATCATGTTGGATACACTGGATAATGAATTAATGACACTGGGATTGTCGTATCATCATAAGGTTTAATCTCATATTAGATGATGAATTATATCTCATAAAAGTTATTTAAGTACGTAATTGACGTTAGATTCTTACATAGAAGTTTATAAATATGACTACATGTGAAATATAGTAGGTATATGAGAAAAATATATTATTATTAAAATGATAAAATAGAAAATAAAGAAGAACTTTTGTAGTGTTTTTGTTATTCACATTGTTTACAAATAATAAATTTTAATACAAAGTCGTGGGCTCGGCTAGTACCTACATATAATAAATTCGTTTATGGCAAGGCTGAGCAGTACCTACATCGTGACCGTCGGAGACGATATGAATTATCTCGTTATTCACAACTGGCTGTTCCGGTGCACTGGGTGTGTCAGTACTGAGTTGTATTATTTTGTCCTTATAGATTACTAGTGATTTCATCCGGCTTCTCGCAGATGTTATAAGAATACGAATTACTCGGCTTTTCTGTACTATAATACACGTATACGTGTAAAATAACCTTCCTCTTTTAATCATATTCATTGGTGAAATGTAATAAAATCCATTTCGCCATTAAAAAGATTTAAGCGTAGAAACGGCGGCGACTTTGTTTTATACTATTTAAAGACTAGCTACTAGCTAGCGTACTTTGCGAGGTATTTTTTTATGCGAGCCTCTCGCTTGAAGTTGAGTTGGAATTGTATGTAATATTATGTTATCTGTGGTAGTAATGACATAGTATAAAAAAATTAGGACTAATGACCCTATTGCTAGCAAAGATATGTCAGACTGTCCTCTACGCGAAACCATCACAGTTAATTCCTGGTTTACCAAACCTGACTTCATCCAGCAAATTACGTAGAATTAACTGTTACCACCAAATTTGTTGTAGCTACAGCAATGTACCACGTGTCGATCTACCTGACCTGGTACATTGCTGTAATATCAAGTTTACAAAACATAAACGACACTTTAATAGAGTTAGTTACTTATAATGGGTAATAAAACAATGGCGCATAGGTATTGCTACAAATGTTATCAATCAACAAGAACGCAGTTAACTTTGACTAATAAACCAGAATATGTATTCTTCTCATGTATTAGAGCGGATCGCAATTGAATATCAAAACATTGCATAGATGAACTAGTGTATAGTAAATCAAATACAAAAACCATGATTTGTTTTTTTTACACATTTTTTTTATGGATCATAATGGAATGGTGCACCCGCTTGCGCTAACGGTTTATGCTGGCAGGGCACCAATGGGGGATGATAAGATGAGGCATGAGGTCAGGCTTATCGTGACAAATTCATCAAGAATTTATTTCGATGGTTTCCAGGGGGAACCGCCTGGAGGTCAACCTGACATGGTACATTGCTCAAGTAAATCTTTTTCTCCAATAAATAAAGTAGAATACTCAATGGCCGTGATACATCTCATATATCATAAGCGCAAGCAGAGCACCATTACATGATTACCCATGAAAAAATTCCAATATACTTCTGTGTCTAGTAATTGTAATAAATGTTTAATGAGTAGGTGCTAAATCTAGCAATTTACCATTAAATGCAATTATTAACCACGTCAAATGAGTTACATACCTACAGTTAATTTTAGGTAATAAACATTGTGAGAAATCTCGTATTAGATTAATGGAGTAACGCATGAGTCATACAACTGTTCCACAAATTACCTATCTGTAGATGACGATTTTAATGACGATGTTTGACCCAGAAATCTTCACTAAATTACGCATTACGTTATTTCTGTTGATAAGCAATTAAGTACTTACTAAATATAGGTATCCCTTAGTGATTAATGAAATAAAAACCTAAGCAATTAAGGAAATACATATTGTTTTAAGTTATAAGTACTTTATATGAGAGTCTCGCCCTGGCTGTTTAATATTAGTAGCAATAGTTGTTAATATTGTGAAAAAAAAATGGCTCGGTGCTTCAAGATATGCCAGATAGAGAAACGCCTGAGAAACGGTCTCTGCGTTGGATTATGATGTATTAAAAATAAAATGTATAACAATCATTACACCTAGCTTCTTTATCATCAGATAGGTTAAGCACATTTAACTCTTCTCATGGCCAGTGTCGTCTAGCTGATGGTAACCTATCTGATGGTAAAATGAAATGACTATTTATTGCTTAAAATGTGATATGTTGTTTTTAAGGTCTTTGCAATTAGTTTCACACATTTTGTCATTTCTGACATGCAACAAACAAAACAGATGTCAATTTTGGTTATTCTTAATTAGTCAATATTAAGTACGTACATTATTTATAATATGAGTAATGAGTATGTCAATTTCTTATTAATGAAATATTTATTAATTATACATGTCAATGTTTTTAATTAAGCATGTACTCCTGAACACTGTAGTAAGATTTGCTGATTATCCATCTATGTAAGAGCTAAATGTGCTTACATATATTCCATATTAATATTTCGGCTACAAAATTCTGTCATCCTTCACTCACCTATACAGTTTTATACCTCTCTCTCCCCAACCCATGTTCTCAGTTAATCTGGGATCGGTTCTCCCTGTACATCTGAGCCGTGTAACTCTGTTCTGGGTTGTCTGGTAAGGTCCACCTGCTTTTTAATATTGTTCCACCAAGTGGCTCGTGGCCTACCCATACCAGAGGTATAGAGGTCAAGTTTGGTATATTGAGCACTTTTTTAACCACGTAGTTGTTTTTCGTCTTTGAATATGGCCATGCCAGCGTCAGTGACTTTCTCTAACTTTTTCCACGATAGTAGAAGCTACTCGGCTATTATTTTATATGACCTTTGTAAACATATTTAATCCAATTTACTCCTTATTTGTTGTGAGTCTCTATTATTTGTACTATCACCATCGACCACACATACGAATAGAATAATTTTCAAAGAAAATATTATAGTTGAGCCCCTTGTGGAATTACTAGAGCAATTAGTAAAACATATTAGAGAATCATTGTATAATTGCTCCCGTGTGAGGCGCTAGTTACGAATAAGAAGGATATATAATATAATAACATTTCATTTTCTGAGAAATTAAATCAAGAACATTAAACACAATCCGTGAGCGGCCGTAATTAATCATTCGCAATTAGGTGACGTTATTAAATAATAGGTATTCGTATTTACCTACTAAATTCCGAGGCAATTGAAATATTATAAATAACTGTATATTTTCCTGGTACCTTAATACTTGTTATAGATATTAGTAATAGACTAATATTAAAACATCCTTTTAACTTTATATGTACAGCAAGTTCCAATCCTACCTTTATTAGCCGTTTATATATTGTTTACAATTGTAAACATATTCAAAATAGTGTTGTATAATTTTAAAATCCATTACATACACTAAATCTAACTGAATAACAATCCATGAAATATCACGTTGATTTGTTTGCTGCTTGCTATTTTGCTTTTGTCAAAATCAAATCAAAACAAATAACATATGCTTTCTAATAATTACTCTGTTATGAAAAGATAGACGTTGTTGTGAAGAGATATACTTTTATACGGCCAGTTCTACACGAGTTCTCATTGAAAACTATAAATTGAATTATATACATATATATGAATAATCATACAATTTACGTATGCAGTGATTTTACACTTTCCAGTATGATAAATTTAATGCAATATAAATAGATTTATTTATCTTCAAAATTTGTCATATTAACTCTTATCGAGCCTACTGAAATCGTTCAACAAATATCTAAATACAAAATATACGAAATATTAATGAAAATAGAACGAAGCTCGTCCACATTCTACTGTCACCATTAAATTATTAATTTATCAATATTCAAAGGTAAATAAAAACAAACAAAAAATCATGATAAAATACATTTTTAATTAATTTTCTAAATATGAAGAATTAGGCAGTTATTAATCAAAATATTTTTTGATAATGTTACCCACCTATATGAGTTTACATCTAATGAGAGGAAGATTAAATTTGTGTTTAATTATTTAAACTTATTTATGAGTGGTCGGCCTTAATACTGAATAATAAACAGTAGTTATACAATTAATCATTATTATTAATAAATAATAAAAAATAACTTGAAATGCTATAAAATAATATACTCGTACATTATAGATATTTATACGCGTATACATATATAATATATAGTAATATTATGCAATACATTAATAAAATTACGAAAGAAACAAAAGCTTCAAATAACAGTTATTTCAAATATATACTACATTTGAATACTTTATAATGTATGTTAATTAATAATATCGTTGTTACAATACGTTTTAAAATAATCAAGATCTGCTACTTTGTTATATAACGCGGTTGCTAACAATTGTCAATTGTAACAGATTAAGAGTGGTAGGTTTGCGATTCTATGAGTCATTTTAGAAATGCAATTGGATATAAACGAAATTTTATCATTCGCAGTCTCAACTGTGAAATAGTCTAATCGAAAAAGCATAGATTTTAATTCGTTTCAAATACAAATAGCAACTGGGTTACTTAAACCCTTGGTGTCAAGTTTTATATTAATCGCTACAATTTCATCAGTAAATTGAAGTTTTATCCAAATTATGTAACTAAAAATACAGTAGGTGGGTATTCCTGTTAAAACCATATAAAAAGACATATATATGATATTTTCTGATACCTTTAAGACATTTATGTTCTGATATATATTTAGCGTATTAAACAAGGATGTTCGATACAAAAACATCGAAGCGGAGTTCGATCTTTATCGATGTATGGAATATCTGAGAATGACTAATAATTAATAAAAACATTATTGTTACCCATTAGCCTATAAGTGTTCTTGTATTTTTAAGTCACTAGGTACTTGATATCGTTTTTTTAGAAGGCAATTATTTTTATTCGCGTCGATACTCAATTGCTTTTTTGTTTTTACGTCAATGTTACAAAAGCCTTAATGTCTGTAATTTTAGACTGTACATCGATGAATATCGATCATCCCTAGTAATAAATAAGTATAAAGCAGGTCATGGAACAGTAGCAGATACAACTTTAAGATAAATATTAAAGATGTCTATTTAATGAGAACTTGTTTCAATTCTTAAGACGAATGCGTTATTTGGTTGAATCCTACACGGCTAGCACGCGAGACCGCCGCCTTCGTTGCGTTCCAGCTCTCTTCGTACATACTCCGCTTGTTTCTCTGTCAATCCCAGGATCGAGACTTCTTTTTCGAACTGCGTAATGCCGCCGACACCAACCAGATACCCGTTCAATCTGGCCGCCAAATGAGACGTCTGCAACCTTGCGGAGTCGATTCCCAAACTGCGGCAGAGATCCTTGTGGCCTTGCAACCGATATTTTTGATGGTAGCTGTAAATTAATAAAAGAACAAATTAATAATTTGTGAAAGTAAAATAAACTATAATCTTCAGTTCTGTGTGATGAAAGAGAAATTACGGGACGAATTCAGAATAAAGTTAGTGCACAAATATATAAAATTTTAGGTTAACATAGGATACTATTTACCCGAAGACACGCGGGCAACACAGCGGGATTTATCTACTATACTTATTATATATTTATTTCATATTTCGTCGATTAAATAGATAAATGTAATTTTTCAAAATTATTAGCAAGAATTGCCTCCTTTTGTATAATCAATTAAATTAACCACACCGTCTTAATCATTATCTAAATACTTTTGAAATTATGTAATACTTAATACTTCTGTGTAAATTTATAACTTAAAAAAAATAATAATTTAAATGTTTGTCTTGGAAATAAAAAAACGACGACGATTTGTATTTTATTTTATTGATGGAATTATACAAGTTATATTTTTCATTGAAGGTACTATAGTGTGGTATGACATGGTGGTATCACACGGATGTCAACCTGACGTGGCACATTTCAACATTACTACAACAGCGGGGCAACTTTTCATCATTACTAATAATTATATTAAAATTGTTTATTGTTAATTCCACTTTATCGTTATACTAGCTTGCCCCGGCTTTGCGCGGGTGTACATGTATTTTATATATATATATAAACCATCCTCTAGAATCACTCTATCTATTAAAAAACCGCTTCAAAATACGTTGTGTAGTTTTAAAGATTTAAGCATACATAAGGACGGACAGACAACGACAGCGACTTTGTTTTATACTATGTAATGATTGCAATATATAAAGGTAACTCATTACGATATATTATTCTCACGCATATCTGAATATCCATAAAAATAAGAAACGACAAACGGAGGTGATGTCGATGATACTATTAAATTCTATTGATAACAGGTAACAGCTGCCCATTTTTATCGATTCATTCGATTTTGTTTGTCATCCAAATTCATATAAAATCTTTTTCGTGACACTTTGAGCCGGATTAAGGAAAACACAACGGAATATTTTTGATAGCCGGACAAACTCTTGTTTATTATGCAAAAATGTAATGAAGGTTGCAGGCCGACGTGAAGCCATTATAAACAGTCCTCTCTCTTATAAAGGGATAGACCATGACACATATTTTATACAAACGACAGTTTGTAATTATGAATTCTATACTATCAATACGGCACTAATAAATTAGATATGAATATTCATAACCAATTTTGACATAAAGACAAAACTTTAGCTTAATCATTTATTTATAATAATTGGTATATTTAATAAATAATTAAAATAACACATAAAAAATTGTATACATTATTAATAAATGACGGACTCGGTAGTCTAGCGGTTTAACACACCGCGTTAATTCAATAGTCGTGGATTCGATATCTCGCACGATACAAACATTTGTATTCAGAGAATAGCATGACTGATATAAACAGTAATTCTATACTCTGGTCTGGGTGTTTTCTATGTATATTATGTGCTTAAAAGGTATTTCTCTAGTATCCCCATAGCATAATGTCTTATTTTGATACTAGATGGCGCTATGTGAATTGTATTGGGTTGTTTTTATTATCATTATAGTAAATACTTAAATTGAAGTGTTTTATTCTACCTATTGTACCACAAATATATTTACGCAGTGTAATTTTGAAAAGAAGACCTTTCAAATAGAATTAATATACTTTAATGAGTATATCTAAAATTCATTAAGTACATCATCACTTCAGTGTTGAAAATTTCAAGTATGCTAAACATCAGTGTAACTTTTAAAAGTATTTATCGCTGGAATTATACTTTTTTTACATTAGTCTTCTGCCCTGGCTTCGTCCCGCTCACTCATAAATATGAGCTTATATAACTTTCTGAATTTTGCTATTATGTTAATATAATACCTATGTCATTATAAAAATAGATAATTGTAGTAGTGTGATAGATTTTAAACGGGAAGAATTTCTGAAATCGGTGCAGTAGTATCAGAGATTATTTCTTTTTTATTTTAAGTAGATATGCATTATTTACAACTTTTGTATAGATTATATAGACTTTTGCATCAGGCGCAATTAAGAAGGCGATTTGATATCTTTTGTTTGATCTCTCATTTGATCTCGTACAAAAGTCAATGTAACTGATCTTGTAACCGACCTTCCGTATATTCCTTATCTAATTTGAAATTACATTAAACTTCAATCAGACTTAGCCACTTTTAGTCTATTATATTGAGATTCCTTTTTTTAAATTTATCAAAAAAACTTAATATAAGCGTTTTCAAATAGACATTGTTTTATTTTGTCGTTAAATAGGAATTTCTCAATTGTCATAATTAAATATGAAGTTCGAATTGTTAAATACTTCAACAATTCAGAGTCAAACAGATAGTAATTCCATTTCTTAAAATTAAGCACCCATAAGTTCAATTTCCATTCCTTAAAAGTAAGCATGTTTTGGAACTGGATTTGTTTGCTAATCTGAAAATATACGATTACTTTAAAGCTACAAGGGGAGACGAACTTCTTAGTATTCCATAGATTCTTGCGGGTGCCGGGTCTATCTTGGGGCAGAGAGGAAAACTCTGAGCAGTTCCCGGGACTTGTGACTCGGGTACAGGTTTAAGGGGCTCTTTTGTCAACGTACGTCAACACTCATCTTCACCGCTCATGTTTCTCTCTCTGCCCAGTCAAATCTGGTAGTAGTCTGCTAGTGCAGCTTTAGACACACGTAGGGTTTGTCTAATGAGGTATAAGTGTTTAATGACCTAGTGTTGAATTTCTAACGATGGCCTAACTGACCTGCGGTAACTTCCGCTGGTGCCTTTTCGGATGAAAAATATGGTCACTTTCGGACTACCAAGTTATTTTTATTTTATATTATATATATTATTAGTTTATTATGAGCGTAGGGCACCATACTCCATTCCATTAAAACGCATTAAAAGAAAAAAAATATTTACTCTTCAGCGGCATAGAAGGCGCCGGCCGGTGCGATTTCAGTGCGGAGCTGGCCGTCACATTGGGTCTGCATGGCGTTGTATGAAGTTTGGGCCAGTTGTCGCTGCTCCTCATCATGGTACAGGATCAATGATTGGTACTGAATTACGAAAACAAAAATTGTTAAAATAACTTTATATAGTTTTCAATATATGTGACAACTATTGCGATAGTATATCAGTCAACAAATTCTAAAATAAAAAGAAGTAATTTCAATAATTAATTATTTAAAATGGTCTCTCAAATAAACAACAGCATCCTTAATAACGTAAACAACAATAGTTAAATATTCTCTTTCATTTACTCTTTCATTATGTGCCTAATTAGACAAGTAGCTGGGTAATTATGCCGCAAATATAAGTATAGATATTTTTCGCATATGATTATATTAAAGTACCCACATTTCCAACTGGCAAACCCTCATTAGAATCTCATTAGTTATATTATATAACTAATGAACTAATGATTTGCGTTTAAGTGAGTCGTTTTTCGTTTGTCATTAAAATCTGGCAGTGTATTCTTAAAACTATTTTTATAAACATGAATAATTAAAAAATGTTAAATTAGTATTGTAAATATATATATATTTTTGTAAATATACGTAATCTTTTTGAGTAGTGCCTATACAATGTCTTTGATATTATTGTTATATTTAGTTTATATTTCTGTCTTTATTTTTTCGTAAGAATTATAATATTTATTATCATAAAAAACATTAATACGAACATTTTAACAAAATTGCAAATTATAACCGGATTCAATAATGAAACTCGTTAAAAAATAGATAATATTGAAAAAAAAGTAAAGTGTAAACTGTAAGTCCGTACTTATTCCCTCGTATCTTAATAGTCAAACTGGCTTAGAACATGAGAGGGAGAGAAATCGCAGAACAATCACCAAAAACCTCGTGCAGAGAGTATAATACGCTGCCTCACTTATGATCTGATCTGATCGCGGGTCTCGTAACCGAGAATATTTAAATTTGGCTAGATGAAACCGCAAACGGTGTTTTGCTATATACATTTAAGTACTATTCGCTATTAAAAATAGGAGTTGGTGATAGACGGGTAAAAATGTAGGGTAGTATGTATTTTAACTGCCATTTAAAAAAAAAATTGTTGATAAAATTAAAAAAAATGTAAGGGGTGGACAACCTTTATCACTTAGGGTCTAGTCATTCTCAGGCCTATTGAATATGTATATGGTATGAGTATGGTAACTAATATTGTAAGACAAGAATTTTATATATAAGTCAATTAACAGAATAAACATCTAGTTTAAAAATATCATGAACCATTTAATTTAATCGGGCCGGTACTGGTATGAAGATAAAATTAAATCAGACAACAAAATCGTGACCTAGGATTTAATTGTGAGTATTATCTCAAAAAATTGCTCACCCAAACATACGAGTAAATGCTATTTTTATAAATGAGCGTAAATATGACTACTTTTATCATGTATTTTAATAACGAGTGGAAAAATCAAATTCGACTCAATGATAATGAATGTTGCTACGGTGACCAAATGTTTTATCAAAACAAAATAATTCTGCATTTAGTACAATGCTGGTCGATACCTATTCAGAATTAAACGATTTATGCCAGAAAAAAAACAACACCAAGAGTCAAACAAACAGGATAAATTGTCGAAGTATTTCGTTGAAGGTACCTACAATATTTTCGAGCTAAAACTGGCGTTGTGACCCAACCTACATATATGTACATAACATATCTTTTTTTATGAAAATCTTACTGGGTGCACATACCCACGTGTGTGACGTTGTTCTTGCAAATATTGTCCATTATTCAGATGAGAATCAAAAGGGGAAAAGAGGTTTGGAAAAATCAGGAAAAAAGGAAGGAACAAGGAAAGTAGTGGGATGAAGGTTTTCACTCCACCTCACTACTTTCCTTTATTTCATGAAACTGCGAGTGCCATTTCTTCTACGTCGGTCTTTTGAAATTACCCCAATGCACAATGGCTTTATAAATTGCTTTATTACCTACTAGCTACCCGTCCCGGCTACGCACGGGTGTACATATATGATGGTTGCATATAAACCTTCCTCTTGAATCACTCTATCTATTGCTAAAAATTGTAATAAAATCCGTTACGTACTTTAAAAGATCTAAGTGAACAGACAGCGGAAGTGACTTCATTAATGAAAAGACAAATTGCTTTATTACCTAATTTTCCATAATTAACTCAATTATTTATATTATAGTATTTAAATAGTTTGAAAATTTTTAGGATTGCTAGGAAGGTATTAAAAGAATATACCGTACCGTACTTAGTCTATGGCCACAGCATCTGTCACCTGTAGAATAGGTCAAAAACAACAACCTCTGTGACTAGTAGAGGTGGTCAAAAAGGTGTTAAAATCTCATCACCTGACGACCTCATGAGGAAGTAGGTATATATAGGTATTGTATGTCACCTGACTAGAGATGTGCTTAGAGACAAAAATGAATACCATGTCTATAGTGGAAAAACCGAAAACATGTCTCATTAATATTAATAAGAGCCAAACGACTCATAAACCTATACTACATTATTCCTTAATTAAATTCATCAAGTCTCACAGTGGTTGTGGAACCCAGAACCTGTATTTTTATAAAAACTTATAAGTCACCTCTGTGTCTCAAAGTCACTTTGCTTGCGTTGTTTCTTTTTCTCTTTTTGTAATAAACCATACCTGGTCTAATATTACATGCATACATAATTCCGGAGAAGGTAGGTGTTATTAGCATATTATAATGACAAGTCAAAACAATATATACGAAAATGAGTTTTTTAAAGACAAGACTAAATGGTGGTCTTAGGCAATATAAAGACATAATAATTTAGCATTAAAAAATTTAATTAACTGCTGCGTTAAATATTATTATTATATATGAATTATCATTATATACTAGTAATAATTAGTAATACACCAATTCAGGAAGGTAGCATTATCTTAAAAATAATGCCAGCATTTAGGATCTGGGTCCCATAACATTATTAAAACAATTTGAACAGGTCGCCTTATTAATGTACTAATGTTTAGCCGTAAAAACAAACAGACAGAGAAATGCACTTTCACGTTAACAATTTTAGTGTGGATTGTAATATATCTACCAGAAATATTACCTGTCTTTTTAGCTTGGTGGTTAATCCGTATTCGTGGTTGGCCCAAAACATATCCAACAGGTCTTCATATGTTACACTCTTAGGGTCGTAATCCAGTTCAATCACCTCCGTGTGGTCTCCCCTGAAAATATTTAAGTAACCAATTATATATGCGTTTGATCTCTATACATACATCTACACCCTCCAATCGATCCCTCGTCCTATTGAAACGGGGATCGAAATGACGACGGCCTGACCCGTTTCAAATCCTAAATCTATGTAAGTATCCGTCAGCCGCACGATATTGTCAATAGTTTTAGCCATTGTATGTAATTGTAAAATAATTTGGTTTTTATTAATTGAAAATATATATACTTAATATTTACACAAGAGGAATAAAACAATACACAACGTGACAGTCTTTTTCGTATATGGAGTGAAAGTTTTGTAATTAAGTTTTTCACTAAATGAACCAAGAAGCATTTTATATCAATAAAGAACTAAAAGAACCAAGAATTGGCTATATCTCATTAAAAGCTGCTCCACATAATTTGTCCCCAGTAATGACAGATAATAAGGTATTCCTTTTGTGGCATAACGTAACTGGTAACATACTGGACATAATTTAAGATACAGGTTATGCTAATAAGTTTTCTTTTTTATATAATTGGAATGACAAGCAAGCCGATGGCCCATGGAATGGTCAGTCATAACTATATCCTAAATACATGAACAGCACAACGGACGGGTGGCGGGATTGACAGTAATGTGGACTAATAATCCAATTGCTAGTCATGTACCATGTTAGGTTGACCTGCACGCGGTTCCCTCTGGAAACCAATTTTTTTTCAACAATTACAACCATTTGGGACTGTCACGCCTCTTTTCCTGTAAGAAAGCTATTTGAAATAGGACTGAGTTACGACGGCGACTTTTTACAAAGCCCACCTTGCGTAAAAAGGCTCTATTTTTTCATGTAATTGTATCGACTACTTATTACTAATATACATACTGATTACGTATAGTGACAGACAAGAAAAATGAACTTTGTCCATATAGAGAATATGAAAAAGACCAACGAATGATTAATGTTATCAACAACCAGATATCCGCTGGTGCCAAAAATTTATACAAATATTTAAATAGTTCATATTCTTACTACATTTGTACTATATCAGTTTTTAATCACCGACCTTAAGATCATTATTTAACTCTATATAACACTTTAAACAATTCCCTATATAACATTTATAGTTTAGAATACTTTATAGCTATTGTTCTTGAATGTTCAGCATGCATGCATATCATATATTAATTTAATTAATTTAACTAATAGTCCGCCCGACATCGCCCCGATGATGTAAATTTATGATTTTTATAACTATGGTTTTTATGAGAATGAAATATAAATTTCTCAAATCTGTGGTTTCAGATTTGACTATTTTTATAACATTATGTATAGATTTGTGACAGTACACGATCTCACTCTCTCTGTCAGAGCGACGGGTCAATAGCACCGAATGCCATCAGGCAATTTCAAACGCATAAAATAAAATTTATATAGTTTCATGAGATTATACAAAATTTCACAATTTTGTTTGTATGCCATATACATTTATAGTGAAACAAAATTTTCCCTCTCTATATATTGTAGAGTAGAAACTCTATACTTATGATGAGTGGATAAAAAATTCGCATGATTATAGACTTGGCGTTAGTTTTAATTTAACTGAAATAAGATCTCTGGGTCCTTCAAAATGATTGGAATATACAAGTAATACGAATGTATATATATGTTACACTCATAAATTTATAGGAATGATTAAGACAATCACGTATATTGGCATTCTTTCAATTGACTTATAATGTATTAAGGCCACTGCCGGGAGTACGTATAGTTTCTACATAATTTATTGTCTATGCAATTTGTTCGTCGTTCGCCTGTCTAATATAAAGTCAATGTACCACCAACCTTCAGTAAATGTGTTAAATTCTTTGTGACGTTTATTTAAAATTGTTTAAATATTTTATGATAGATGAAAAATATATCCAAGGCTTATTAACATTTCAAAATTCACGCTTAATATCTTTGTAAGAAATAAGAAAATACCTACCACTTTTCCAATTTATAAATTTGACTATATTTGCATTTTCATTTGTACCTGTTAAGTACAAGTATAAATGAAAATGTAAATATAGTACATATAGTGTATATGTAATACTGTACATATATGTAAAATGCCCGAATCTTTGAACTGTCGAAGTAGCTATGTTAAAATAAAAATGTAGAGATACGTAAGCATATTTTCGTACACGACTACCTTTCGTTCACCGCTCCTTTAATAAAATTCTCACTCGACTAGAGAAACAAAACACATCATTCGAAATTCGAAAATCGAAATATAACCTAGTATCAAACTGCATAAAAAGGCAGGTATTCTCTTAATGAAGATTGACACTAGTTCATAATGATTAGAACAACAAGTCATGGTACCTATTTAACATTAATTGTATACAAACTAAAAACATCAATGTTATTTTTATTTATATTTACTCGGAAGTGTAATCAATGTAAAATCATTGAAATTCGTAGCGTTACATAAACTTGGTCTAACGTCTGTCGGCGTGCGTACTGCGTACACGCATCTAACCCGCCTTGACCTTGTCGCGACGCGCAACCTTGCGTGCCGTCGAATATTACGACTAGCTTTGTACTGTTTGTTTGCATCAATCTTAATTCAAACATTCGCGTAGTAACAACTACGTAGTACTCAATATGATGTTTATATACACTATTAAAAAAAGTAACGCATACATCCATATTTAAATGTTACTAGGGTATCTCCAGTTTCTGTGGAAATGACCTTAGTGTTTACTTACAATTTAATTAATGAAATTATGAAAATAAAAACTCGGTGATCCAGCGGATTAACACCGCTTTACTTCCAATGGTCGTGGATTCGATTCCTCGCGCGGTAAAAACAGTTATATTCATGAGTATGATTGTTTGTGTAGGTCTGGATGTTTTCTATGTATATTATGTACGTGTTTAGAAAAAATGTATCTAAGTATTTATATCAGTTAAGATGATGATACTACCCTACGCATTCCGTCTACGGCGACCGCTTCAAGGACTCCCAAAGCTTTCATGTCCCCATTTTCTTATAATAGCTATTTAAACCGAAAATGCGGAAGAAATAAAATTGATTTTGTCAGTAAAATAAAATAAATGGTAGGTTTACTATTTGTACCTACTTCGTACCCACCATGACATTAGACATGTGCGAGACGTGGGTGTATATCATCACGCGTGGCATATTTTGGCATTGGCTTTCTTTACTGAAAATAGTCTGGTCTAGACCAATGAACGACTTTTACTAGAGAGAGAGACTGTAAAATTCGACTGCGTGGGTACCTCAGTCTCACCTGTTTCAGCCGCTAAATAGCTTGCTTTGTAAACTATGTGTCGATTATAGCGTGCGATTACATAGTGTCATTACAGGATAACAGTCATAACCTTAGTCCTGTGGACTTGTTATGAATGTTAATGGAATGGTGCACCCGCCTGCGCTATTGGTTTACGCTGGCGGGGCACCAGTGGAGGATGATAGGATGAACATGAGGTTCCCTCTGGAAACCATCGGGATAAATTCCTGGTGAATTTGTCACGTTGGGCTAACTAACCTGACCTCATGTTCATCCTATCATCCTCCACTGGTGCCCCGCCAGCGTAAACCGTTAGCGCATATGGGAGCATCATTCCATTATCATTCACTAAAACAAAAAAAAAAAAACAATCCCCTTCGCCCCATGATAACGTCATGTCCGTAATGCTGTCCATGTATGTGACAGTTATCACTCAGCATCAGGTCTGAAGTCAGCTTCTTTGCCATATACATGTATATTTCCGTTGGGTGTTTGGTGTAACTTGAACAAATAGATATACCAATTTTATTTGTCAGCTTTTTTTGCCCATGTTTAATAACTCATAACACTAGCCTAAAGATATTGTTAGATAATGTTGATAAATAATATCGGTATGTATTATTTTTGGTATCTAATGCGTACCCAACATGTGATTGATATATTTTTACTAAATATTTTTTCCAATTGTTTCGCCAACAACCGGACGTTTCCTTCAGGATATTTGTTTTGTCTACAGTCTTTATTTACATTAATGTCTCATACTTCATACATTACACATTCTAACAATTATATTGACATTCTAATGAATTCTAACAACTAGGTAACCATTTTTCCTTAAAGACAGATTTTACTTAATTATTAATTTATTATTAATTAATTTTACTTTTCATATACAAAAACATACTATTTATTTATTACTAGCTACTCGCCCCTGGTTTACATCTATTATATGTATATATAAATCTTCCTCTTAAATCACTCTATTAAAGAAACCGCTTCAAAATTCGTTGCGTAGTTTTAAAGGTTTAAGCATACATAGAGACGTACAGGCAGCGACAGCGACTTTTATACTTATGTAATGATTATGCTTACATTTTCGTGAGGGTGTACATTTGTTGGCACTTACAATATATTAATGATAATCAATAATCAAATGACAATAATAATTAAAACATCTGTACAACGCAATCAATAGGAGGCGGTGTATTGGAAATGTTCACGAAATTATTGCATCCTCTTCGGGGGATATTATTCTCCACTTTTTACCATATACCTTAACCAATATTTGCTAACATATTCTGTGAAAATTTCAGCCTAAGTCCGCCAATCGTCCTTAACCTCAATACAGAAACACATAAACAGACAGTTTTCGCGTTGACACAACTTTCATTGTCACGACCATCTTTTATTTGCATAGGCATGTAGATCTATTATTATTTACGTAAGTATATTAACCCTGTTGTTTCATATTCAGTTTAGTGAATACATATTATTAGCACAGCATTTTGATTTATTACATTTTTTATATTAAGTCTTAAACATCCGAAGGCATAAAAATTCATGTATACATACAGCAAAACTACAATCACGGCAGCTAACCTAACAGATAATAATAGCTAGAACAACGTCTAGTGGGGTCATTTGCCTTCTAAATATCGATTAATACGTCCTTGGTTTCAAATGTAGTTGCTTTTTCCTGGCAGACTATTGTTAAGAATGTTGTTCTGTTTCAGTACAATATTGATCATAAAAAAATCCAATTAGCTACAAATAGGTACATCAAATAATGTGACACGGGAAGACGTGATAATAATATAGAGATATACTAGTCCCTTGCTAACAATATACCTGTCTGTGTATATATCTAGAAACTACTTTGTTTAGAATCAAATCGTAACTCTTTTTTATTTTGTTTAAATTTTATGTACCTAATAAATGTATTTTAGCATAAACACTGCGTTACATGTTCCAAATGACCCTGTTCTAGTTTTGCGCTTATTTATTATACAGTAAAGTGGAAACTGTATTTAATCAAAATTATAATTATTAAAGCTTGGTATTACTGTGGATTAGTAATTTATTACCTTTACTTACATCCAGAGAGTCGTTAGATCAAATCTGGCAGACAACAAAAATAATATTGATTGACAAAGCCACTGACTATCCTATCTGGAATAACATTCGTGACAATATATTTTATATATTCTATGAAGCATTTGATATACGGTGGTTTAATTCATAATTCACCCATCGTTATATGTATAGAGTAGTCTAATCGGACTCTACATAGTATAGAACAGAATATTCTCAAGAATTGTATTCGTATATTTAAGTAATAATAAATAATCTTTGCCGCAGTGGACTTTATTCAACTTGCTAATTCTAATAGTAATTCTTCGTTATTTATAAAAATATAATACCTACTGTCTTTGTACTATGATAAGATTCAGCATCATTCTCATTTTAACTATACAAATATTAGGTCAAGAAAATTATCCAAATTTGTAAAATGTAAAAATAGTTTATGCCGCATATGGGCCCTTGTATGTTTAGAGTCGAGCCTGCAAAAGCATACTCTAACTTCTCCCAAATTATAAAACTATATCAAAAATTTCCTAATATCCTCACAGGCGAGCAGCGAACTCGATGTTTTGAAGATTAAAGTACGTTGGGATCACAGTTACGTCGTCTAGTTATGTGTTAGTGGCCGTTTCGTTTTCCTATTCAGGTTTAGTAGTATTTTACTGGTCGTTGATTTACCAATTTGATTTCACATGGGATGGTATTTTAGTTTATGATATAACAATGGGTTAGAGGATTTGTACAAAGTTCGTGTGTTCATGAAATCTACGACCCCATCCACTCTCCTAGAGATGGTCTTAAATCGATTGTGACATCGCATTTCAATATTAGTATTAATCGAGTAATGGATTATCTATAGGTACTTACATGCCCCTGTAATGTGGATTTTTGGTGGTGCCTCCCGAATAACCGACGCGGGTGCGTACCACGCCTGGGGTGGCGCCGAACAGCGAGTCGTTAGACCAGAAGCAGCCCATACCGAAGGTAGCCTTCTTCGTTGGGATGTCCACATCGTGTAACAAGGTAGCCTGTGAACAGCAAACATAAATAATCAAACTTTACGTCAAATTATTTGAGATCTCTTCAGCCGTTTAGATAATTGAGATAGACAGACATACTTTTTCATTTATAATATTGCATATGGTACGCACGTAACAGTTTTTGCCGAAGACAAAGTTGTTAATAGTTATTTTATATTGTTACAATATTTTATATTTTATAGTTCCGTTTTTCGGTAGCTGTTGTTTATATAAATGCTTTGTATACGGAAAATGTATTTAGTCTGCTGACTATACATACATTTTCCTTGCCAAAGAACGTCTCTCACTTTTAACCAGTAAATACAGTCCTCCGTCACAATTGATACCGTTATTTATTTAAGACTTGAATAGAATGCTTGTGAATGTAAATGTACTGATAATAATCAGTGAAAACGTTGATGATAACAGTCATGATTCTTCGAATGTAAGACGAAGAATTGAACGCGTCATTCTTTATCTCGCCACCATAGAGTTTCTTTTTTATTCAATATCAAGTAATTATCTAGATGAACATGGAGTACTCGACTGATATCTAAATAATAAAGTTTAATAAAGACCTATCGTTGTATATATCTAACATGAATCATCGTGATAGGTTTGATAGTATACCATTAATTAACCATATAAGAAGCTTATCATCATTTTAAGCCATTTTTTATCCATTGAACGGTCCTGACAAGTCATAACTCATTATAGATAGACAAAGAATGGAATATTACCTTTAAATAATAATAGGATCATAAAACAACGTCCGGTCATTGGTACTACTCGTACTTATATATACGAGTACTACCAATATAGGTTATTTTATATGCCTATTAAATAGCTTCACTAAATTGCGTTACAAGAAAACCTCATTTTTGACACCTTATCACAAACGCGACATTTATGAGAGCCCTCCTCACTTAGCAATGGGATCTAGTGACCTATTACTAATAATGGGTAAATAGTCCTGGAAACCATCCAGATTAATTTCTGGCCAACCCAACCCATGGCCATTCCATTCTCTCTGTTATACTGGCCGAATCTATTGACCCCTACAAATTATTTCTATTCCAGTCCCTTGTCTCACTCTCCCCGTTCTGGGGCAGCGGACGAAACAATCACAGCTTCGGTGCCGGGCAGCGCTCCTTCTTCAGCAGCATCCTCTCTTCTTGTCTCTTGCCAACTCGGCAATGAGCTAAATGACCTAACTTTATCTTCTTATCCTCAATCCTCATTTTATACTCAATTGATGTCCCGCCAGCGAACACCTAACAATGTACGCTGGCGGGTGTGTGTACCATCCATAAAAAACATCGTACTTTCTTTATAATAATAGTGTACAATAATCCGTTTATCTACTGACGTAAGTAGCTATTGTTCTTTTAGATATACACATATAGTGCCAATCATTAGGGATACCGAACTAAAAAATAAAATCTAATCCTAAAGTACGACTTTGTCGCACTGTACAGCCATTACTACCATTTCTGAAGACCACTATATGTCCTATCCTAAATCTTCAAACAGAAACATAGTTGCATAGAATGCTGCTTGGCGATAGAAATAAATAAACTGAGGTAATCAAACAGACAACTTTATGCCATTCTTCTTCATTTGATATATATTTGTGATCCTGTTTATAAGAATAATAAATAAGTGCATTCAATTTAGTCTACTGTGTGCCTTTGCGATTCTATTTCAATCGCATAAAATTGTCTACATCCCTATTACAGGATTTATTGGTTAGCCGATACTTAGTCGTGTGAGCAAAAACGTGCATTGTAGTCTGGCCACTGCTATTACGACTACAATATCAATTTAAATTGATCAATGCAAGTGTGCGTGACATTGAATTCATTGACGCTCAATCAAGCTATTAAATAAAAGCTAAATTGCCTAGCAACGCTTGTGTGAAATATCAACCCATCATACTCGCCGATATAAATGCCTCGCTAGTCTAGCGGTTTAGCTCACCGTCTTACTACCGATGGTTGCAAGTTAGATTCCACGCTAGATACAAACATTTGTAATAATAAGTACGATTGTTTGTACTGTTGTTTCGGGTGTTTTTTATGTATATTATTATGTATGCAAATTATTTATGTTTTTGTATTAGTTTTTAGTACTTTCAACACAAGCTATGCTTAACTTGGGGTTCAATGGCACTGTGTGAATTGTGCTGGATTATTGATATTAATTACTTGACTCATTGAATTTTCAAAATAGATGCAGTATTTATTTTAGTAGATTATCAACAATAAAAATCTAATCTTACCTCTTTGTAATATTCATTTAGAAAAGTTTCCATAAAAGTCAAGTGCCACTATGTATAAACCTCACTAGAGGGGACAGTATGTTCACATATAATATGTACTACATGTTCTAAAACACATCTTTATTCATAATAAATGTTAAAGACAATTAAAAATTCACCCTTCAGCTCCAGCTAGACAGTGATTGAACTCTAACTTACCGTGTTAGCATGTGTATCATATGATTTCTTTACATTTTTTATGCACGTTTTATATTTCACTAAATTTTATAGTTTTATACTATATTTTTTTATAATAATCCAGGATAATTAACATAGCGCCATCTAGTTCCACGGTAAACAGAACTTATGGTATGGATACTAGACAACTGATATAATACTTCAATTTTTTTGTAGATACACACATAAGATATATAGAAAATATAAATATTTGTACCGTGCAGGGAATCGCAGACCACTGCGGCCGTCAATTGTATTGAAAACAAGTCTAAAATCTTCAATTATAATTGTTATACTTTTTACATAATATAATTAATTATTATGTCCCTGTATTATTGCCAGTGAATGTATGCGCAGAATTAAGTAGCTACGTACCTACTCTACTTAAATAAGGAGGTGGATTTATTAATTACATTAAATTACCTCTTATAAGTACATAGGTACGATGGAGGACATAGGTAAGCTTTTTTAAATAATTAATCTCAAATTGTGGTGAATATTACTAAAAAGTAAGTAGTAGGTGCCACGAAACAATTCTTCAGATTCATTCATATATTATCTACGATCATAGACAAAAATATATTTTTTTATTTATAAAGTATAGATGTTTTAAATTGACTATCTATGTAAATTAAGAGTAAATTGTATGTATAATTTAAATTTTATTATGCTTATTATTATTAATACGAAAATGTTTCAACGTTTCTGTTATGTTTTACAAGCATATCAATGAACAGATTTGCACGTGTTTATTTAAAAAATATTAAGTATGCACAAAGTAATATTTTTCTTTTTTTTTAATAAATAAGTAGCTATTTTATCTATAAATGCATCTGTATTGTTTGAACTAAAAATTCAACAATTTAAAAAAACGATGCAACTTCAGCAGACACAGTTTTCTTAAATTATTGATCGACAAGAGTAATGTTGCAATTGACCTAAATGAAAGAACGCCTGCATTATTGCATCAGACAAGTGAAAATTACGAGGAAACACTTAAGTAAGCACACATCGAAATAATGCCACTTTCATTGAAGTGTATCTATTCTAATTAATAATCGAAAAAAAAATACTTACGTGCACTGGTGGTTTCATTGTGAATTTTCTAATAAATTTCAGCATACACCTCTAAAATGCAGGTTGAATGTGTTTGATCAGCAAATTTTCAAGCGTATAGGAATGTTTTTGTGTGAAACGCGTGCGGTCCCGCGTGATTTAGATCGTGGTGTAGTACAGAGTGAGGCCGCGACGCGTCGTACAGATGTGGCGGTCCGGCGAACACTGGCTTGGTTGCTAACTTGCTTGCTGCTCTACCACCAATTTACGACAAGATTCTCGGCGACATTGACTTGCTAACGCATGCCAGTAACTCGTTTCCAACACCAACACTAAACACAATTAACACAGTGTTCGATTTGCTGATAAAATTATTCACATCACGCTTCTGTTGGTACTTTATGTTCGAATTGGTTCTCTCTACTGTGCCATTGTTTCAGCATATTTTTTATTAAAAACCTACGTAATATGCCATACATCCATGCCTCAAATAATAATTGTCTATCTAATCATGTAAATAGGCGCATACCCATATTACCTAAATTTCTTTCGCGGTTATTTATATTTTATTAAAAAATTAATATATTTTATTAATTATTTGATAGTGATGGAAAATTATATGGATAGCGTTTTTAATCGGCACGTGTCTTATAGGAATACGGTCAATGCAGACCACGCGAAGTTTGCATAAGGCTGTTGTATTCATTTTAGCGACAAGTGAACTTTTAACTGCCTACATCTATACATCAATGTAGAATATGAACATGTTATGTTGGTAAATATATTTTATGTGAATTCAAAGTATCATTGATTTCACATAAAATTGATCATATTTTTAATTACAAATAAAGAGATTCATGGCGCCATTCCGCAACGCCCGGATCATGGGGCGAACAACATTCGCAAATTCTAATATTTATGCGTACATAAACCAAACGAACAAATTCATTGTCCATCTGACTCTTTAAGTTGTTGCACTGAATTGTACATTTTAAGGTACTTAGTAAATTGATGTTATTAGTTAAAATGTATAAGTTTGGGATTTTAACGAATCATTAATATTTGATATTTGCAAATGCGTAGATACGTTTCGCAATTGCAACTGTGAAGTGGTCCGTACATAATTGCAAAATTATATAATCGATATCAGTGTTTCATCTGACAATTGTTCGTCAGCCTTACATAATTAAGTAGTTGGTACCTATATACCTATCTATTATAGATTTACTATTTCAGTTAAACATTAAAGTTAAAGACACATTAGATTCTGTTTACCTTCCCAATCATGAGTATTGAAATTTCAGTAGGTAGATAGATGATTACCTATCTTTGTGTTTGCTATTTTTAGTGCTGCACGAGGCTTGATAACATCACAATATTATGTAGTCATGATTGATTAGTAGATACTTAGTTAAAGCAATACAGTTAAGTACTCATTTCAAGAGAATAACAAAAATAAATATTTGTTTTGAAAATATAAGAGATACCTATTAACAACCCGTGGTAGGAATCTACTACTTAGATATTTGTAGGTGAAATGGCTAGGAATGAGGAACAGTGCCACTATTGTATCATGACAGGTTAAACTCTACTCTGCCCTTCCTCAAAACCATCGTGGTTTATTTTAATTATCTATGTCACCATCAACTAACTAACCTAACTTTATTTTATCATTCTCCACTGCTGTCCCGTTAGCGAATGTGGGAGCTCATGATCATCATCATCCTTGAAAAATATATATATTGGAAGGAAACGGTTTCTTGGCCCCATTTCTAGGAATGTACTATGTTACCAGGTTAACCCCCACGCAGTTCCGTCTAGAAATCATCAGGATACATTCCAGTCATGATGGGCTAAATAACCAGATCTCATGTTCACACTGCACCTTATCATACTGCACTGGTAGGTACCCCACTAGCGTAGACGGGTAGACCTTTCCATTACCATACCTACCATATAGTCTATTATTATTATAAATGCAAAAGTTTGTGAGTATGGATGTTCTTTACTCTTTCCAGCAAAAACTACTGAACGGAATTTGATGAAACTACAGTAATATAGCTCATACATCAGAATAACATAAATATAGTCTATAAATTTCACGCGGGTGAAACCGCGGCCACAGCTAGTATTCGTATATTTCCGAGTACGCCAAGCTAACGATGGGACAGCGGCTCAAACCTGGACGTGCGTCGTAATACGTGTGTTCGTTGTGACGTGCGGCATGACGAAACCTTGCCCGCGATGGCGCGCCTCGTCTGTCTCTCGTCTACGCTCTCATCGCACGACTAATTGACAACAAATACTCTAGACAAACCCGCTGATTTTAGGCACTTCCTGTTTTCGGATAATTTTTATTTTTACATTTTCGGAATCTATGATTCATATATATATTTAGGCTCAAAAAATATTGTAATAATTCTGTATTTACATACTAATATACTCATTTTAAAATGAGTACTAAGTTGTGCGTTACGCCTCTCGAGTTAGGGAGCAATCAAAATTCCGCTTCAAAGATATCTTTCAAAATTCGTCATATCATTCTTGATACGGTGAACTTCATATTAATACATCGATAAGCAGGTTATTAGCTAAGATATTATTATGATACGACATTGATACATGTGTTGATCTTTATTTATATACTTGGTACATTTTATAACATATTAATATGATTATATAATTATCGAGGTTCACATTTGATGTTTATATCTAAACCTACCTGGATTATAGCTATATCAATAGGTAGGTAAAGTTTATATCTGCTCAATCCCATTCTATTTTTAAAAGAAAATTAATATATGTGAAATCTCACATTTCTCTCTTATATCTCACGATTATATGTATATATTTTACTAATTTATTTTGCTTTGTATAATAGTAGGTATATGTGTGTATATTAAACAATCGTTAATAGGAAGTTTTATAAATATGTTTATTTTATGGACGTGTATTTTATTTTAGTTTTTATTGTACATTGTTTTGTATTTGCATATTATCTATTTCGGTATCTGTAGAGCGCAACCAAGGCAAGGCAAGTTTTAAAGCAATAATGCCGCCTTTCCTTCCTGTAGTTTTCTTTTTGCGTAATTATTCAGTGAGCAATAGAGAATGTTAATATTAATTCCTGACTAACTAACCTGAGTTTATGCTCATCTCATAATACTTCGCTCTTGCGCTGCCAGCGCTTTGTTAGCGCAGGTTAATATACCATTCTATTACACATATACAATCTAATAAAAAAATGTGACATCGAGTGAGTAGTGACATCCTAGCTTTCGATATGTCACAAATAAAAATCTAATACATCTAGGTGTTATTAAAATCGTTCGAAACTGTAAAATGTGACTTTACACTAGGTAAGGCCCCACCCACTTTGGGGAATCCAACAAATGTGACTAACTGTTGTCACAGTTAGTCACATTTGTTGACGGGTGGGGGGGTCAAAATGAGGAAATTCGTGTGACATTATTTACGGATGACCTCATATAATCTGTGCAGTCCAGTAAATGTTAAATTAAACATTGTGACCAGTTTTGGTGAAATATAAAAAATAAGTCTGCAAATACATGATTATTGTGCCAAAACTGGTCACATCATGTTTAATTTAAAATTTTACTGGACTATGTCATTCTGGAATGATATACCTTTCAAACAGTGACAGTGTTCTTAATAATTACTACAACACTAGCTAGACTAGATCACATGTGTTACTAAGAAAAACCATTACGTTATTTTTTGTATCTAACTCGTTTGTACGCCTACATATGCTTGTTTTTAAACTCATCAGATGTTATAATTATTCTCTTAATGCGTGCGCCATTAGTTTTCGAACCACTTGTGTTCTATATAAAAATTATATATTTTTTTCTCTTTATTTTGACAACAAACAGTCGTTATATAAATATACAAATAAACCATCTTTACAATAGACGATGAGTGCCGAAAATTTTAACATAATTGTATGTATATTATATATAAATCTGGAATATATTCCAAACAATCTGATCTAATGATTAGTTGATCTGTTTTTAGCATACAAATATACTTTTTTGTTTTAAATCTTTATTCACTAAACTAACGATATACGTTTCTCATTGGTGTAATTTACATAATACAGACCATGTTGCTTGCTAATAATGTATTCGTACCTTTCCATTGCTAAAAGATTTTTTAAAGTAAATAAAATGTTTTTAAGGCTTATTCAACAAAATAAGTAAAAGTAAAATCTTTCCTGTTTGCAGTATTAGTCATGACGTTAGTTTGTTTGTCATACGCATATATTAATTGTAATGTATCCTTACACATGTACAGTATACATATAATAGTAATATTAAAAAAAATACATATTATATATAGTATACTCATGAAAATAAATGTTTGTACATCGTACGCGACTTTCGAAGTAAGGCGGTGTGCGGCCGTTAGAACACCGAGGCTGTCAATGTTTTTTATTTCTTACAAATAAACTTTTCGATGATTACTATATAATATTAATGGTTGTATTATAGAAAAAATCCAAACGCCATTTGTATATATTTATTCATTGTTTTAAGGAAACTTAAACGTTTATTTATAAACAATAAATGTTCCAATCAAAACTCACACTACTGTTCATCATGAAGGTTATACAATACCGAATGCCTAATTATGTACATTGCAATAGATAAAAACATAAAACCAACACAACTTGCATTGATTTGAAATATATAACTTCATATGCAATTCAATATATAGTATAGTACTATTTATTTAAACCAATGCATATGAAGTTATAAATACAAATAATTTGTTGTACTACAAAAATAGTTTGATTTAGACTAGTGTTTTTCAAACTTTGAATACGCGCTTCTTTTGTAACTCCTTAAGCTTTAGACTAAAATTATGAGTTACGCCTATGACATTAAAAATACTTGTAAATTGTAGTGTTTAATCAATAAATCTTTTACTGTTTTTTTTTAGTTACGGCACCGAAGGAAGCACATTACACAGTTTAAAAAACACTACTTCCGACAGTAGCGTACAATTTCAATTTGGACCATAACAGATATTAGATAAGTCACAATAGTGAATATCAAATTACTAATAATTGAAATTCTTTAATGTTAATTATTTAATGAGTATACCAACTGATTTCCGGATTCAATACTGATTATATATTTTTAGACACTATGGTACAACTCAGGAAGTGTAAACTATAGTATATTAGACCTCTACATTTGAGTGATACTTGAGCTGTTAATCTCAAAACAAA